GGGACTAAGGACCCAACCCAGTCTCAACACCGGAGTCTCCCCCTATTTCTTAGTGTTCGGATCAGAGGCAGTGTTACCTACCGATGTCGCTTTTCGAGCACCAAGGATAGAGCACTATGATGAAGAGAAGAATGATCAAGCACGACAAGATGATGTTGATTGACTTGAGGAAGAACGCTTGGTCACCTGTGTTTGGATGTCTAAATACCTGGACAGTTTGCGTAAACACTACAATCGCAATATCCAGGAGTGATCCTTTGGCGTCGGCGACATGGTGCTCCATAGGAAACATAAGACCGATGGGATGCACAAGCTGTCTTCACCGTGGGAGGGTCCATATATTGTCAAGGCAGTGACCCGACCAGGGTCATATAGGCTCTACGATCAAGACGGCGTCGACATCCTAACTCTTGGCACATCGAACACCTTAGGCGTTTCTATCCTTGAGACGTTCTACAAAAGAGATGTACCTTTTATGTATATATGCATTTCAATAATGATTTCATCCGTGATGCTTTCTCCATTTGTTTTTTCTCCATAACTTTTCTCCAAATCATTTGTTTTTCCATACTTGTCATCTTTAAGATGACGCACACTATCACCGTTTGACTCGCTGATCAGCCACGTTCTCATTCGCGTTATCCAGAAGCAGTCCTGTTCTCGATTTAGCACCTAAATGTGCATGGGCAGTCGACAGCGGCTCCTCGGTGATGCCTGTATTCCTAAGCGTGCACAAGAGCTAAGCTCTCTATGCCATGGGGTGTGGGATAGCCGGGGCTGGTGACAAGATAAAGGACCAACTAGCAGTGCATCATTTGTATTTTAAATACAGACACTTTATACACGAAACGAACATAATGTTTAACAGTGCTGATTTTCTCTGGAGTTCATATATTTTATTTTTACATCATGTACAACCCATTCTACATATATGTATTATAGGGGCTAGGTTCGGTCGATGAGCTTATTTTTACGCTCGGAGACTGGATCAGTCAGGAAGGATAAGATGATCATCGCCGACCAGTTGGTTGCACCATCTGGCATTTGGACTTCATCGCCGACCAGTTGGTTGCACCATCTGGCACTCAGACTTCGTCGCCGACCAGTTGGATGGACTGCTCAGCGCTCACTTCATCAGCCAACCAACTGGTCAGACTGCTCGTCGCCTGGGCTTCATCGTTAGCTACGCTGGAGGCTTGACAACTATGCTGGGGACTCCTCAGTATAGTGCTAAGCACTCTACAATTTTCGCTATGGTATAGTGCTAAGCACTCTCCATTTTTTCTCCATGATTAAGTGCTAAGCACTCTCCAATATTTCTCACGATTAAGTGCTAAGCACTCTCCAATGTTCTCCACAGTCTAGTGCTAAGCACTCTCCATTTTTTCTCCATAGTTACGTGCTGACATTCTCCAGTTTACTCCAAGGTCCAGTGCTAAGCACGGGGACTTCGTCCTTTACACTTAATTCTTGGATCCTGCTACAAGATGCTACTCTATCTTACAGCAGGCTCAGGGACTAAGTATGTACACTTCACCAAGCGGTGAGTGTAATTTTCTCAGCTAAGCTGGGAATAGATTATTTGACCACAAGATTGTTAATATTCTTTGATCCTGCTATAAGATGCTTCTCTATCTTCTAGCAAGCTTGGGGACTAAGTGTGTACACTTTATCTTACAGTGAGTGTACTGTTTTTTTGTCTTACTGGTCTTCAGCTAAGCTGGGGACTGGGGGTGTAATCGGCTAAGCTTTTGGAGTCTTCTATTTTTTGACCCTAGCACTAGGTGCATTCTTCACCTAATGTTAGGCTCGAGAACTAAGGGGCTACACTTCACCTAGTGGTGAGTGTAGTGCTTTTTTCCTGATTTATCCTTCTTGTTGACTAAGTCATGGATGATAATCATCTGACTTTGCCAACGAAGCCAAAGTGTGTAAACTTCACCCAAGGTGGAGAATTTTTAAAAATTTGAACTTGAGCTCCTTACATCCTTCTGGTAAGCCTTACTTGAGTAAGTTCGAGGCCTGTTGACCAGTTAAACTGGTCGACACCTGTTTTTTACTAATCGGTTAACCAGTTAAACTGGTCGGCACCTATTTTTTACTAATCGGTTCACCAGTTAAACTGGTCGGCACTTCATTTTGTTGATTGGATTATCAGTTAAATTGGTCGGATTGCCAGATTAACTGTCTAACTACAAGTTAAACTGCTCGGACTTGCTCATGACGGCGTTGGTCAACAGATACAAGGCGCTCGAGGACTAGCTGTGGGGGGTATAACCCTAGGTACCCACGACAATGGACATGGGCCACACCACCAGGGACGGTCCAGCCCACAAGATCAAGGCGTGTGGTGCAAGGCACTGCTCGGCGTGCACCACAGAATTTCAGGAAGGAATCTTGAAGATAAAAAGGATCTGTTCGGATATGTTGGATATCGTATTCTTTGTAAATACTTACCATATAACCGAATAGATCTAGATCTAACCGACCTGTAACCTTACCCTCCAGCTATATAAGGCGGGTAGGGACCCCCTCAAAAGCATCTCATATCATCTTGCCTCATAATACAAGACATAGGACATAGTGTATTACATCGATCAGACGGGTTGAACCTGTCTAAATCGATGTCTCTACGTTTGTGTCACCATCCGGTTCCTATTACGCGCACCTCCACCGATCATCTACTACCGTGGGTATACCACTCGGTAGACCGCCGACTAGATTTTGTCGACAGTATCAATGTGCTTGCTTCTGTCATGATACACTGGGTTCTTGCTTAGCTCTATTGCTGACATGTTATCCACCATCAACCTGAACTTCTGAGCAGTTTCTTTGGTTATATCAGCAATCAGCATACTAAGCCACACATCTTGGCAGGCTCCAAGAGCTGCAGCAACATATTCAGCCTCACATGATGATAGGGCCATAACTTTCTGCTTTTGAGATGACCATGTCACTGGATTCATGCCCAGGAAGAACAGAATGCCAGAGGTACTCTTCCTGTGCACCAAGTCTCCCGAACAGTCACTGTCTGTGTATCCTAGCAAAGACAGTTCAGCTCCATCTCCCTTCTTGAGCTTAACACCATAGCCAAGTGTTCCTGCAATGTATCTGCCAATCCTTTTCACTGCAGACCAATGCTCCTTCCCTGGGCTTCCATGAACCTGCTAACCAGCCCAACCGCAAATGACAAGTCAGGTCTAGTGTTGACTAGGTATCTTAGGCTCCCAATTATGCTCCTGTACCGAGTTACATCTCTCTCAGTTCCTACTTTTGTAGTGGTGAGCTTAATTTGTTGTTCCATTGGTGTACCTATGGGATTGCAACTAGTCATCTGACATTGCTCCACTATCTTTGCTGCATAAGATCTCTGACAGATTGTGATTGCTTTTTCTTCTTGTCTGACCTCCATGCCCAAATAATAGCTAAGCAATCCTAAATCACTCATGCTGAATGTCTGCATCATTTGCTGTTTGAATTCAGTAATTTTACTCACATAGGGCCCACAAATGATCAGGTCATCCACATACACTCCCACCACCAGCAGAGAGTCACCAGCTCCTTTTCTGTAAACAGCATGCTCCACCTTGCACTTACTGAACCCCAAAGAGACTAACTCTGAGTCCAATCTAACATTCCAAGCTCTGGGAGCTTGTTTGAGCCCATATAATGCCTTGTTCAGCTTCAACACTTTCCTTGCCGTTTCTGAGTTTTGGAAATCAGGTGGCTGTTTCACATATACCACTTCTTGGAGATCTCCATTCAAGAATGCTGATTTCACATCCATATGGTGTACCTCCCAATTTCCATGTGCTGCGAAAGCTAGCAAAACCCTCACAGTCTCTAGTCTGGCCACAGGTGCAAACACCTCATCAAAATCCACCCCCTCTTTCTGAGCATATCCTTTTGCTACAAGCCTTGCTTTGTGCTTCACTACATTTCCTGTTGCATCCCTCTTCACTTTAAACACCCATTTCAGTCCTATAGCCCGATGACCATTTGGCAAGTCTGACCAAAACCAGGTGTTATTATCTTCAATGGCCTGAAGTTCTGAATTCATGGACTCTCTCCAACATTACACATTCAAGGCACTCTCCACACTCACTGGTTCATCAGCTGAGAGTAAACAAAGCCCACTGTACTCAAAGTCATGTATCTCTTCTGTTGAGTCAAACAGATCAGATAGTGACCGATACCTCAGAGGTACCCCATCTGTATTTTCTGAATGTGGACCGCCATTCACAGCTGAGGCTGCGCTAGCGCTTTAGGATTGGGTCTGTGGTGACACAGGTGTTGTAGGAGACTGGTGAGTGTGGTGGTGCAGCACCTGCCACTGGACTACCACTATTTGAGCCTGAATCAACCGGTTCATCTAATGTCGGACCAGCTACAGTATCCTGATACTCAACTGTAAACGTTTTCATTGCATTACATAGACGGATACATGGGCTTGATCCCCGACCACCCCGCCGCATGACGAGCTCCATGATATCCTGCTTTACCGGATCGATGACCGTGGGCATGCGTTGCGCGACGTCGTGACGGGGAGACCCACCTGGCTGTCACGACGTGAGCTAGGCACAGCACCAGCCACCCGTAATTCGAGGCCATCTAATACAAACTACTGAAAGCGTAAAAACAATAGTTCCAACGAGATTACATCAAGGTTAAAACTAACTTATTCAAGCTAACAATGGCAGCGGGGAGCCAGGCGATGAGCAGGACGAGCGACTGGGCGTCGTGGCCGCCGTAGAGGGCGAGGTAGATCTGTGCGTGGATGGCGCTGCTGAGGCCGACGTAGCCCTTCAGCAGGCTGAGCACGGTGGCACGGGCCTCAGGGAAGTTCCTAACGCACGTCACCAGCGTACCGGTGCCGGCGAACGCCTGCGAGTTGGCGCCCGCGCAGATGTAGGCGCACATGAGCCAGAGCGACGGCGGCGGCGGTCGCTTGGTGCGACCGGGAGCGAGGGAGAGGTAGACCATGAGGTAGCCAGCGAGGTTCATGGCGGCGCCAACTGCGAGATGGCCCATGGCGGGGCCACCTCGCTGAGCAGCCCCACGGGGACGTCCACGTTGCTGCCTAGGTCCTTGAAGAAGGCGAGCGTGGTGACGGCACGCTGGTCGTAGCCCAGAGCCGACTTGAGCGCCCAGGAGTAGATGCCGAACTCGTACATCGCGCCCGACGCCGACAGGATCAGCAGGCACGCCAACAGCGTGTACCATCTCCCGGAGAGCACCTGGTGGGCGAACCGCACCGTTGTCAGCACCTCCGTCGCCACGCCACTGCTGGCGGCGACGAACGCGAACACCATGGTGTGCCAAGTGTATACACGTACGTGCGTGTGCCGATGTGCGTCGTGAACAAATGAAGTGCAAAGCTGCAGACCCAACTGTAAATGTTTTAGTTGACTGATTGCTGTCACTGCTGTTCCAGTTCCATGCCCCTCCTCTTCAAACACCACGTCTCGACTGATATGCAATTTCTCTATGGAAGGATCTAGCAGCCGATAGGCTTTTGTTCATGCTTCACACTACGTGAAAAACGGTTTTGATCAACGGCACAAATTTTTTGTAGGAGCGGTTGGTGATGGAGCCGCCCCTACAGTGGAGTGTTGGAAACCCACGAGACCAGCCGCCCCTACAAATAGAATAGTAGGGGCGGCTGGTGATACGAGCCGCCCCTATAAATGGGTCATATTTGTAGGGGCCGCTCAATCACCAGCCGCCCCCGGTATTGTTATTTGTAGGGGCGGCCGGTGATTGAACCGTCCCTACAAATGCCCTACGTACAGTACCGAGTCACCCCAAAATATCTGCTGCCCTCCTCTCTCTTTCTCCGTTTCGACTCTTCCTTCCATCCGCCGCCCCCGTCCTCTCTCTCTCGCAACTGCGCTCCGCCCGTGGCCACCTCCTCCCCCGTCGCGACGCCCTTCGTGCTCGTGGTTTGCTCCGCTGTTCGTGACCTCGTCAACCATGCGCGAAGAGCGCAACTCCTTCCCCATCCGCAACGATGGCGCTCCGGATCTCTGGCCTCCGGATCTCCTCCCCTTGCTCGACGACGGCCCAAATCTTCCCATAGCCGCAGCTCTGAAGGTGGAGCTTCATCTCCTAGGTGAGTGGCTGCGGACCCTGTCTCCCTCTTCCTAACTCTCCCTCACCCTCACCCTCTCCCTCTCCCTCTCCCTCACAGATCGATCCTGGTGGGGCTTCTTCCGCTGAGGCAGCGGCGGTGAATCATGGCCGTCACCTTGGTGGCCTCCTCCGCACAATCTGGCGAGATCTGGCTGCAGGGGCTCCACCGACGGGCGCGTCCATGTGCGGATCCGACCAGATCTGGCTGCAGGGGCTCCTTCTTTTTTCTCTTTCTTCTCCAGCTCCTCTCTCTCCTCCCCCTCCCTTTTCCCAGACCTCTCACCGCGCCGCCGTGCTACACGCACTTCATCGCCCTCCTCCGCCAATCTTCACCGCCGTGCTCCGTCGTCTCCACAGTTCTTGCCTTACTCCGTCAGTCCCGTGCTTTTCCGCAAGCTCTTCCGTCTGGATCTATCACTTCTCCCCATCTTTACCTCTCTTCCGTCATCTCTCTGTTCCAGAAGATCTTCCCATGGATGAAGACGACAACGGTTTTCCACGAGCTCTCACCTCTCCTCATCTTATTCTCTTCAGCCATCTGCTGCTTTTAGTAAACTATTTTTTATTGGATCTGGATGCTGCTATGAGTTCATACGTCTGGTGCTTTTGGTTAGTTTTTTAATTTGGTCAATGTGTTTGATGGATGCACTTGGCCTGTCGTTAGTTCATCCCTATGCTTCCTTTTTAGATAATATAAGCACCGACTCTTGTGCCCCATGTAGTTTTTGGTTTTCTTTTGATAATAAGGTTCTTATAAGATATGCTTGTTTTATGCCTGTTCTTAGATGTTTCGGATCTATTGCCGGTGGTTCTTTTTCAATATAAAACGTGGCAATGTGGTTGCTGCTTTTTAGTTATTATATTCGAAGCTGCAAGCGGATTGTTTTTTTATTAGTCTTTAGAACTTTACTCTAGATGTGCCACAAACCATATTTCTTATTGTACGATCCTATTCACGAGCTTAATTGAGAAGAAAAAAGATCTGACGACTCAACAACTTTCATGGATTCTCACGAGCTTAATCTATTCTTTGTTTAGTCCTTCTAAACAACTTTTAAAAATGGTGCTTTATCTTCCTTTCATTATAAACATACTTTCATGGATTCTTGAGACAAACTGCAGACTTAGAAATATTTATGTCTACTAAATCCTGCGCTGGTTGTTTTTCTTATGCTAGTTGTTTTAATTATACTTCTACTAAATCCTGCAGGTTGCAAGAATTATTAAACCATTCCTGATTCTATAACAGGAGGTTCTTCTTTATACATTTTTTATAGTATAAGTTGTTAATATGCATAGCATCAGAAACTAATATATGCATTTTTACTACTTGGTTTGGTGGTTCCACCTGCTGGAATAATTTAATTTCAAAAATGATTTCAGTCACTCATGCGGATCTGACAGGTGGCAGATCCAGGACAGCGGCGGCGCTGCATGGATTTGGGACAATTAGCATGTTTATGCTTGCGATCTCACCTGTTTCAATTTAACATCTCTTTATAGTTTTTTTCTATTCTTATTTTTCTACTGAAATTATTCCTGGATAGCAAAATAGAGATATCATTAATCTTGTGCTAGTACAACAAGTAGCTGAAACATTAGTTGGAGCAGGTCCATCCATTCAGTGGTTGATGTATTGCATTGTGCCCATTCGAGTTACAGCCTTGCAAGTAAAAAAACTGCAGTAGTATCTTAAACTCATGCTGGTAAAATAAAACATGAAAGTGATGCAAGCTGTTCTTGACAGTAGCTCAGTTTTTCCCTTATATGGTTATGCCTCATGCCATGTTTTCCAGCGTGCTGTGTGTCTGGAGAAGGATGATGCCATGGTCTGAAAAAATAATAGCTACACATGGTCTGAAATCACGGAATGCTGCAGCATTTCAGGACATCATACTATGAGCTCTTATTCAATTGCTTGCAAATGGTTCTCTCAAAGGCCTGCTGTATTGGGTGAATTAGAGTTTTATGTGTACTTATTTTTGTCTTCTAAATAACTATTCTATTACACAGATATCAGGTCATGATGGTGGTACTGGAGCTAGCCCAATCAGCTCCATCAAACATGCTGGGGGTCCTTGGGAACTTGGTCTTACAGAAACAAATCAGGTTTCCTACATTTTTTTTGCTGTAACAGTTTTTCCATGAAATTATTTTCTGTTTTGTAATGCTAGTGAACTTCCTCCAGACACTTATACAAAATGGATTGAGAGAGAGGGTAGTACTTAGGGTGGATGGTGGATTCAGGAGTGGTCAAGATGTTCTTATGGCTGCTGCTATGGGGGCTGATGAATATGGCTTTGGTTAACTACTTCCTCTTTGTTGCCGAGGAGGTATGTCGTGATTCTCATTACTGATGCTGTTTGTCTTAGCCTTGTTCCTTGATTGTTGCAAGACCTGCCTATGTTTTAGGGATAATTGTAACTTTTGAAAATTGGTTAATTCATTTAGGTTTGAGCTGCATTAGCTCAGTTGGGTTATGAGAAGCTGGATGACATCATTGCGCGAACATATTTGCTTAAACCAAAGCATGTCTCGTTGGTGAAAACGCAGCACATCGATCTTGGATACCTCTTATCAGTATGTATTAGCAGCCATTATTATTTGAAGCATTAGCATATCTTCCATGTGCTTTCTATTTAAATCAATGGTTTTTACATCAGAATGCTGGATTGCCCGAATGGAGCAGCTCCCAGATTAGGAGCCAGGACGTCCACACTAATGGCCCTGTTCTTGATGAGACAATCCTTGCAGATCCTGTGGTAGTGTTTTTGATAAGTTCTCTTAGTTACATGGACTAACTTGACTAATGGCTGTCCACTAAACCTGATTTTCTAGTATCATCAATCAAAGCAACTCATCATTCCAAGTTCATGAAACTAGAACTGTATTTATGGTCCATGCACAGCCTTAACCTGTCTAAAATGAAGTGCGGTTGCTAGGAACCCAAGTTTTATCTGCTTGGAGCACCATTATTTATATTATCTAATTTGCAGATAGTTGATGCGATTGAGAATGAGAAGGAAGTTTCCAAGGTGTTTCAAATCTATAATGTCGATAGAGCTGTCTGTGGTCGGGTAGCAGGTGTGTCTGGAGAAGAATAAGAGCTCATAGTATTATTTTTTCCTGATGTGTAGCTATTAGATCTAGTTGAGTACTTGACTACATTCATTTTTAGTCTTCGCAAAGCATCTGAAAACTTGTCTCAGATTTGCTTATCAAGCCTGACCAACGCCCATCCTACATGTACAAGTTCAGACACAGATAAGTCATGATAGAGTTGTGCATAAAAAATATATGTTCTGGTCGAATTTGAATTGTAAATTTAAATTTTTTTTGGCGAAAAAATGATTTGTAGGGGCGGTTGGTACTGTAGCCGCCTATACAAATCGATTTGTAGGGGCGACTGGTGTTCCCAGACCGCCCCTATAAATCGATTTGTAGGGGCGGTCTGGGAACCGCCCCTACAAATGCATGATTTGTAGAGACAGGGGCGGCTGGCCGAACCGCCCCTAAAAACCATATCTGACGTAGTGTCATAGCCTAACAGAACAATTTTTGTGGCTTTGTCTGACTGCTTCCCAACACCAGGCCCAATCTTCTTTACATGAGCAAGACAACCAAAGGTTCTCAAATGATCGACTCATGGTTTCTTGCCATGCCAATGCTTCATATTGAGTTTTATCTTGCACACTCTTTGTTGGAGATCTGTTCAGCAGATAAACTGCTGTTGTGACTGCCTCTCCCCAGTATTTTGATGGCATGTTGGCTGTCCTTAAGTCCTAAAAATAACCGCCAACACTCACATAAAATGAACTCATATGAACACCAGACTTAGGATTAGGACTTATAACAAACCAATTCCACGAATTTTGGTGATTCATCATTTGCAGGATGACATTCGTGGAAATACACATAAAGAGCTAAGAATGTGCAAAGGAACAAAGCATAAATACCAGTTTACGCAAGCCCAAAGGAGAGATGCCCAATCACCAGAAGAATCAGGGCCCAAACAAGTGGAGAATAAGCCCATAACCAAAGCAAATCACCTCAACTCCACGCCAAATCCCCATGGGCCAAGACACAAAACTCATGGGAGGCAATCCACCAAAGATGGGCGCGTTTGGACCCAGCCAGGGTGCGGCCGCACGCCACCAACCAGCCCAAACAGTCCCATCTC